TTACATAGTTATAGCTGTGGTAAATATATTTAGACTGTGCCATAAAATCTCTTGAATGTTTTCTATTGATGTTTCAAATTACTTTTAGTTCAGTTTCCAGTCCCTAATATGCAGAACAGATACCTGGGAAAAAGAGTTTTGTACTGGTGGGAATTATAGTTTAAATATTGAGCATTTTTCCTCTTTTATTACATGATATTCTTGAAATAGACAAAGAGCTTTAAGTCAAGTCAAAGCAATACTATAATCTTATTCAAGTTTTCAATGTGTGTTCCACTGTAAAATTCTTTAACTTTTATTAGTTCTTGTATATTTTAATGAGAACCAAAATGTAAGATTACCTACTTAGTACTATGTAAGGCAGTATTATAAATTTTCATCCATCATTGTTTCTGCCTGCTTCATGTGGCCATCTGGTAAATTGCCTTGCTATAAATGGTGATGTAGGTAACTGAAATCTTTCTGATCATATAATTTATTCAAGGAACTTAATGGGTAATAAGATATTAGGAATGCTAAGTCTGATACATTGAAGCCATGATGCAACTAAATTCCGGTTTACAATATTTCATATCTGCTTGCCAATTGAAGGAGTGAACAGTTACCAAATTAGCATAAAATTCCAGTCTTAAAGCAGAATGAATGAAATGTATGTGGTATTACTTTACTCTGATACTGTAACTATAATTTTTGAGTGAATGCTTTTAGTCTTAAATACAACATAAAAGTAACACATTTTGAATCCTATAATCCAGATAATCTCCAGTTATTTTAAAACTAGCTTACACTTGGCCAGCACCCCGGCTCACTAGGCTAATCCTCCACCTGTGGCGCTGGTACCCCGGATTCTAGTCCTGGTTGGGGGGCCGGATTCTGTTCCAGTTGCCCCTCTTCCAGGCCAGCTCTCTGCTGTGGCCTGGGAGGGCAGTGGAGGATGGCCCAAGTCCTTGGGCCCTGCACCCGCATGGGAGACCAGAAGGAAGCACCTGGCTCTTGGTTTCGGATCAGTGCAACGGGCTGGCTGTAGCGGCCATTTGTGGGGTGAACCAACGGAAGGAAGACCTTTGTCTCTGTCTCTCTCTCTCTCACTAATTCCGCCTGTCAAAACAAAAAAGAAGAAGAAGAAGAAGAAGAAGAAGAAGAAAAACTATCTTAAACTTGCAAACAAATTCCTATTCAGCCTCCTATCAGGATGTTTACCTTTGGATTCCTCCATCCCAGAGTGTCCAGAGAGCCCATTCTTGGAACCGCCATACATATTAACCTCACCATATGCTTTCAATTTTTGTGGCCCTGCTCCTTTAATATTACAGCTTACTTTCAAGAATTAGTTGTGGGTTAACATCTAAAGGCACAGTTGAAAAAACACTCTCTAGCTTTGTGACTGTAAGCAAATTGCTTTCCCTCTCTCTTGTCTCAGTTTTGTCATCTGTAGAATGGTGATAATATTAGTAATTATCAAAAAATGTGTAAAAGAGAAGCATCTTCAGTGGATTGAAAATAGGAACTATCACATTAACAGTGAGATTGTTTATACATGGAAGTAAAACACTGGGATATAAACAAACAATTTTAGAATATGAGATTTTTATAAATTAAAAAAGTAAAGATAAGTGAGTTTTCAATTTTTATATGACTATATGTTATCTGGGCAGTTTAAGAATTGTAAAATGTTTATCTATTCACCTCCAACAAACACACACAAAAGCTAAGCAAATCACAACAAACTACATTTTTAAGTTTGCAGTGTGTATGTATATTTATATGTCATAATGACAGTCTGGCATTAGAGTAGCAGGTTTTGTGTTTCAACCACTGGTTGGAATCCATTAGATAGAAAAGTTAGCTATACTGTATTATGTAACAAATCAAGTTATCTGGGATGAGTTTGTATTTTTAACCTTTTGTTGTGTATGTGTTTGTGGATATCATGTCTATTGGATAGTAAAGCTACAAAAGTTGGGAAAGGAACATTTTAGCTTATTCCAATTTTGGTGTTAAATTCTTTATTTGTATGAGGTTTGCAGGGAGACAATTATTTCCATAAAGTTATGGTTATTTAAGATTTCTAGATCGGTTTCATTCTAAATATTTTTGTCTCTTTCCTATATTTCTGATTTAAGTGTTTATTTTACCTTATGAAAATATGCTGAAGATTGTTTAAGTCAGTGCAGCCTTTGGGCACCACGCTGTAATAAGGATCTTAGCATTAACACTGACACTAACTCAAATGTTCTCTTTCCAGCCCTAGCACTAGTTCCCTCAACAAACCAAAGATGCTGCATGTAAGTCGTGTGTGTCTTTGCATCATTCACACTTCTCATGAGAGTGCCAGCTAAAGAGGAGATGCTCAGCAAATTTTTTTGAATAAATAAAAAGAAACTTGCTTGGAAACATATTATAAAATAAGTACAGTTTTCTTCAACATCCTAAGCCTTCTGTAAAGTAGACTGTAGATATGACAAAGCACATACTAGTTGTGGAAGATTTATTGGTCATTACTTTTAAGTATGTTCAGTCCAGTGGCAAAAGTTTTGAAAATTATTTTGTTTGAATGATGGTTTTGAATTTCCCTTGAATATTTAGAACTAGTTGACCCAAGAAAATACAAGGACATTTAGAAAAGAATTTTTTAAAAAAAAAGTGAAGAGGTTTGTAGCCAGACTGTGAGTTTAGTAATAAAGGCATTAATTTTCTCAGGTGTAACATGGAATTAATAGCTTTTTTCTTCATTGTGTATAAGGTATATTAGTACTACTTATCCACATGTGATGAAAATGAGCAAAGTTCTATAAGAGACCACAATAGACAAAATTTGAGCTCTCCAAAGCAAGAATAATCCCAGGTCAGGTGGGGATCATGAAACTATTGGAGAAGTATTGTCATGGATACCATTACTATTCTGGTATTCAAAATAATTCTCTGCTCCTTTTTTCTCAGTCTTCCTCACAGCTCTAGGCCTGAAGAATTTATAGGTTGTGTGTCCTTCTCAGCTATAGACCCAGAATTGGTGATTCTCAATCAGATAAGATATTAGATTAATAGTTTCTCAGTTAGGACATAGGGACTACTGCAAACAGACAACAGTAAGGGCTTTTGAGGACATGACAGTTTTGTCAGCAAAAGGTGTCACTCATCCATTCCTAAACCCTTTGTAACTGCATTAGTTCAAGAAGAAGATTAATATTAATTTTAAAAGACATAGACGGCCACACATTCTTGCCCACTTTTCTCCATGGCTTGTAGTGAGAGAAGTTTTTTCTGACCAGTTCAGTGTTCTATTGATATCCTATGGTTCCACTGCCATAAAAGTTCCTTTTATAAAAAAAAATGTTTATTTGAAATTCAGAGTTACAGTGAGAGTGGGAAATACAGAGAGAGAGAGAGAGAGAGAGAGAGAGAGAGAGAGAAAAGAAAGAGACCTTCCATCCACTGGTTCACTCCCCAAGTGGCCACAATGACCAGGGACAGGCCAGGCCAAAGCCAGGAGCCAAGGGTTTCATTTGAGTCTCCCATGTGGATGCAGGAACTCAAACACTTGGACGATCCTTCACTCCCCTTCTGGGCACATCAATAGGGAGCTGGATGGGAAGTGGAACAGATGGGACTTGAATCAGTGCCTATATGGGATGCCAGTACTGCAGACAGTGGCTGAACCTGTACTTAGTCTCTGATGATCTTTTGATAATTTATACATTTTCCTCATAAGGAAAGGGACTTGTAAGTATTCTAAATAGACTTCCCCTTCTTTCAAATCATCTTCTCTCCCTTCACTCAGTTTATTTTTCTCATTGCATTCACAACTATCTTAAATTGGTCATATAATCCTGTCTGCATTCTTGCATTTGTACCCTTAGTCTCTTCAGATAGGTTTGGCACACAACTGGCATGCGATAAACATGTGTTGAATGAAATGGTCGCTATTTCTAATATTGAACTTTAAAAACTTAAAAAACTTAAAAACTAAAAAAAAAAACTTAAAAACTTAAAAAAAAAGATTTATTTATTTACTTTAGAGGCAGAGTTATAGAAAAAGAGAGGGAGAGGGAAAGGGAGAGAGGTAGAAAGGGAGAGAGGAAGAGAGGGAGAGAGGAGAGAGAGAGGTCTTCCATCTGCTGTTTCATTCCCCAAATGACCTCAATGGCTGGAACTGGGCTGATCCAAAGCCAGGACCTTTTTCTAGGTCTTCCACGTGGGCACAGGGGCCCAAGCACTTGGGCCATCCTCTGCTGCTTTTCTAGGCCATCAGCAGGGAGTTGATTTGGAAGTGGAGCAGCCAGAATTCGAACCAGCACCCCTTTGGGATGCTAGCACCACAGGCAGATGCTTAACCTACTATGCCACAGCATCGGCCCCCTGAACAGTTTTTGACTCCTTGACTCCAATAACTGTCCCACCATTGCTACTTATGCTTTCGTGGTCCTCCTCCAGGCTTAAGGCTGCTATTCATTTCCCTCTTGATTGGTGTCTTAACTGGAGCAGCTCTAACTGTGTTTATATTGTAACTAACTTCTGAAGAAAAGCGAAAGTATCATTACCTCGCTATGATTTGAACTCTACATAGGAAATAAAAAGGGAATTAAGGTATTCTCTATAGTTTAAATTGTTCTTTCATTAAATCTTCTGATTTTTGATAAATAAAAAAAACTAACTGGCACGTAAAAATTGTACGTATTTATGGGGTACCAGTTGTGGAGTTTTCATACATGTATGCATTGCGCAATGTGCAGTGGGAGTAGATATAATTGTCTCCTCAGCACTTACCATTTCAAGTGGTAAAAATAATCAGAATCCTTTCTTCCGGATTTTTCTTTCTTTCTTTCTTTCTTTTTTTTTTTTTTGAATGTCGCTCCAACCTCAAAATGCAGCTCCCTTTACGGTTAAATCTAGACTTTCAAAAAGGATAGTAATGAAACACTACCTTGTAAGTTTACACTAGCGATGCTTGACATATAATGTGTGTTTTGTGTGTGTGTGTCTTGTTGTTGTTGTTGTTCCAGGTCTCCCACTAAAGACATGGATTCCGAAGAGAGGGAAATTGTGGTTTGGGTTTGCCAAGAGGAGAAGATTGTCTGCGGCTTAACGAAACGCACCACCTCCGCTGACGTCATCCAGGCCCTGCTCGAGGAACACCAGACAACGTTTGGAGAAAAACGATTTCTTCTGGGGAGCCCCAGCGACTACTGCATCCTGGAGAAGTGGAGGGGCTCCGAGCGGGTGCTTCCTCCACTGACTCGAATCCTGAAGCTTTGGAAGGCTTGGGGAGACGAGCAGCCCAACATGCAGTTTGTCTTGGTGAAAGCAGACGCCTTTCTTCCAGTTCCCTTGTGGCGGACAGCGGAGGCCAAATTAGTGCAAAACACAGAAAAACTGTGGGAGCTAAGCCCAGCCCATTACATGAAGACATTGCCACCAGATAAACAAAAAAGAATCGTCAGAAAAACGTTCCGGAAACTGGCTAAAATTAAACAGGATACAGTGTCGCATGATCGAGATAACATGGAGACGCTCGTTCATCTGATTATTTCCCAAGACCATACCATTCATCAGCAAGTCCGAAGAATGAAAGAGCTGGATCTGGAAATTGAGAAGTGTGAGGCTAGGTTTCACTTAGATCGGGTAGAAAACGATGGAGAAAACTATGTTCAGAATGCATATTTAATGCCCAGTTTCAGTGAAGTGGAGCAGAAGCTAGACTTGCAGTGCGAGCAAAACCAGTTTCTGGAGGACCTGAGTGAAAGTGATGGAGTGGTACAGCTGGAAGAGCGGCTGAAATATTACAGGATGCTCATTGATAAGCTCTCCATCGAGATAGAAAAGGAGGTGAGAAGCGTTTGCGTTGACGCGGGTGAAGATGCAGAAGGGGCAACTGGGAGTGAACTGGAAAGCTCCAATTTGGAAAGCGTGAAGTGTGATTTGGAGAAGAGCATGAGAGCTGGTTTGAAAATCCACTCTCATCTGAGTGGCATCCAGAAAGAGATTAAATATAGTGACTCATTGCTTCAGATGAAAGCAAAAGAGTATGAACTGCTGGCCAAGGAGCTCGATTCGATTCACATTAGCAACAAGGATGGATGTCAGCTAAAGGAAAACAGAGGGAAGGAATCAGAAGCTCCCAACGGCGACGGGGCGGTTCCTCCCTTCACTCAAAGAGTATTTAACACTTACACCAATGACACAGACTCAGACACTGGTATCAGCTCTAACCACAGTCAGGACTCTGAGAACACTGCAGGAGACCTGGTGTTGTTGTCAACATAATTTAAATGGGCTTTTCCGATCTGCTTGAATGTTGTCTGTGTTTGCGTAATTTAATAGGAAACTTTATTTGAAATACTACTTTCTGAAAATTGTGAATCATGTTAAAGTATTCGGTAGTTAGTAAAAACTAGTGAACTCCATTTTTTTTTTTGGTTATAAGATTTCCAGTATGACCTTAAGTATTACCTTAAGAATTTCAAGAATGAACTATCAGAAAAGTAGCAGAATGAGCCTGTAGGTATAGAACACAGAAATAATTGAGAATCATAGATAATTTATCACAGCTTCAATGAAAAATGATTTATATAAGCTAACAATTCTTAATAGTGGATAGTCAAAATACTGAAACTTCAAACATGACAGAAGTAAAATTAAAACATACTGAAACATCTTTTTTTCTGCATTGCCATTGAAATTTGTAAAAGAAAATGGCAGCTACTATGTTGTAACTATATTAATCTAAATCTTTGTTCTTTTAATATTTAGTCTGTGTAACTTACTAAGTCTGTCACTTCTTGAGCCCTTTACCTTTTAGGTTTAAGTGACAAGTTGCTCTGGAGACACGAATAACGACTGGCAGTGTATTAGACACAGTGGAGGGAACAGATGAGGCAAGGCCAAGTGCTGCACACACACAGTGAATTTTCTAAAGAAGAATACAATTATTAGGAGATATGCATGAACTTTTATTATCTAGCAATGCAGATCCTTTGATCAGACCAGTTTCGCTGCAGGCTCATTCTTGAATGAAGTATGATGTGGGTTACAGAGGAAACCAGTCATAGTTTTGTTTGTTTATACCCTATCTACACACATTATAGTAATGAAATTTTACTCCTTTGTGTGGGTAAAATAGAGTTCTATATGCATAATTGTTAGCATTTTGTTTCTGAATGTACAAAATCCCATATGGAGAAAGCTTATTTTACATTACAATTCTTTTTGTTTTCTTAGCACTTCATCTAAAAAGCTTTTAAAGGATCTACAATATCTCCAGAGTGCTACCAAAAACCTAAGAAACTTAGTGGATTATTTAGTTTCCATCTTGAACACTGTCATATGCCAAACTATACTTGGTTTTGATTATGAATGAATGGTTATGAATTTGCTTTCTCCCTCCTTTTTTTCTTTTTTCTCTGCCTGCCTGGCTGTCTTTCTATTTTCCCTCCTCCATTCCTCTTTTCCCTTCCCTTGTTTCTTCCTTTCCTTCCTGCCTGTCAGTGAACACATGGTAAAATCATACTGAAAATAGTTTTTATCATTTTATTATGTGAACTGACTACTGATGCAGTTAGTTTTTTCTGTAGCTGACATCTTCTTTCCTGAGCCAGTGCATATGTAACTAAAATATTTGACTTAGTTTTAATATGTGAATAATACTGAAATTCATGTTTCTTTTCATTTATTTTTACATATAGTGTATTGTAGGTTTTGATTCAGTTTTACTTTTTCATTTTTAAAATTTTATGTTTTCAACTTTTCAACTTCATTAACTGTTTTCTTTGTCTTTCTTAAATTTTCTTCATATATCCTTGTATTTTTCCCTCTCCTAATTTTTTCACTCATATTTGGGAAGGTATGTAGACTGTATAGCATCTGTGTTGTCATTTTTTGCACTAAGATATTTGTAGGCCATTTTTGAAGTTGGCTGGTAGGAAATGTAGAAATTTCCATTCGATAAAAGATACAGTGATAAACAATAAGTACAGTGCAACATGGGATATATATACACACACAAATGGACTTGAATAATAATCACTTGTGAAATGAAAGTTTACCTGCCTAATAGGCCATTAAATTATGAAACAATGTGGTGAGCTGTTGACAAGTTCACTGTTTACTAGGAGGGATTAAATGCAAAAGATTGTCATAAGTGATAAAACAATTGTAAATGTTGCTTTCCTAAAGTGAAAATAATCTCTTTGGATTACCCTAAATGAGAAAAATCATGAAAAAAGATACATTGCTTATATTCTTATGTAACTTTACTGAGTTCAAAAGAGGTTGTAAAGAAAGAACGTGAGAGAGAATTTGATTGTATAAATCAATTCTGCTTTTATAGAGGTAAAGACAATGATGCAATCCAAAAGCCAATTCTAAATTTTATAGGAAATAATGTTTAAAACCCTTGGTAGAGAGGAAAACTATTGGTTTTTAAATTCATTTTAGGATTTCTATTTGATCTTTAATTATACACAGGTATTTGTGCTTCTAATCAATATAGTACATAATCATTCATCAATTTCCATAGTGAGTCTCCAATTTAGAGCTATTTTTAATATATTAATGAAAACAGAAAAACTAAAATACCATGTTCTTATTTGTGAATACTAAGATATTCATTATTAATTTAAGAGAAAATTTAAGTTGTAATTATAGGACTTGATAGAAAGTTTAGTGTTTTTCATTACTTATAAGAAACCTTAAAATACAGTACTTATGGATTTTTCAAAATTTTTCAGTAACCTGAGAGGTTAACTATGAAATTGCTGTGTGCAGCTAGAAGTAAACCAAAGCTGACAACTCTATTTTTATCAAAAGACTTAGATTCTCACAGGCAATAACTAGTGCATTCTTCCCCACAGAATGCCTGTTTTTCTCTCCATCTGCTACCTTCTGGAGTCCTATCCATTTTCCCAGCCTTTGTAATGTGCTATCACTTTTATGGAACATTTTTGTTATATTCAACCAATTGTAATCTCTTATGTGTAAGCTCACAAATATTTCAGATGTATTTCTTGTTTATTTCATCATTTATATTCTGGCTTAGGTTATACTCATTTATGTTCTTATCCAATTCCCCTTCCATAAAGGATTCTTAACATATTACTTTATCATCTGTCTGGTTAACTAAACTCCCTCCTATCAACTTCTGTACCCCTTACTCAATTTTTAAATTGAATACCTACATTTTAAGGAATTGAAATTTTGTATTTGTATCTTTATTTGTGGTAATTGATACTTGTGTATTTGTACATAAATATCCAAATACCCATTTTTGCAGACTTAAAACATTAAAAGTAATTCTGCTTTAAAAAAATTTAGAGGAACACTGAGTCTCTATGATACTACGAGGTTTTTTGATGTTACATTAATTTTTTTTGCCTTCCTCCCCATAGTGTTATATTCATTTTTAATCTTATTTGTACTTCACAGAATTACTGATTTAAAGCAACACGATATTATCTTTTTAGCCAATTTTATGGTTAATTATTGAATTTCTCTTTCCATTATATGTTTATAAGAAAAACATATTTTATAGAGTTGAGTTTGAAATAGTAGACACACAAAATAATTTTAACATATTCTAAATGAAATATCTATTATATTTTTCTTCTTACTTGTAATAATGAATGATCCTTCATTAGTATGTAGAAGATATTTTAATTCATTAAAAATTTATTTTTATATTTATTTAAGCATCTATTGACAAAACAAAATATATTTCTGTTGCTGCATTTTATAATTTTTCTAAGTAGGATTCTTGTTCTACTTAAAAATATTTTTCTACTGACAAAGGAATACCTTTTAGTCCTGATACACTTTTTAAATATTAGGCTGTTTCTTTTTGTACTACCTGATTGGTTTAATAAACCTGATGTGACAGATATAAGTATATACAACTTCTGTAACTGACAGAGCAATAAAAGCATCATTGAACACTTCAGTGTAATATTGTCTTTCTGGGTGGGTTGACTGTGTTGACAATAAGTTTTATATAGCTATGAATGATATTATTTATTTTATAATATATTTCAAAATCAGTTATTTGTTGACTACATAAATACATAAATAAAATCTAACAGAGATTTTTATTAGGTTTTATATACTTTTGTTCTGGTTTGTTAGTAAATTCAATAAGTGATTTTATAGCAAACTACCTTGCTTCCTAGAATGAAATCGTTCTAACTTAAAACCACTCAACAAAGTGTGAATCTTTTACAATGAATTATAATTTGTCACTACAGTGCCTCTTCGAAGTGTAACTTAGAATAGATTTTGAGTTTTTTAAGTAGTTGTTCATTTAAACCATAAGGAAATTCACTTGTTCTTTCTACAAATGACCTTGCAATTTGTTTCTTTTCTTTCTTTTTTTTTTTTGAGAGGTAGAGTTATAGACAGTGAGAGAGAGAGACAGAAAGAAAGATCTTCCTTCCATTGGTTCGCTCCCCAAATGGCTGCTATGGCCGACGCAGCACCGATCCGAAGCCAGGACCCAGGTGCTTCTTCCCAAACACTTGGGCCATCCTCCACTGCCCTCCTGGGCCACAACAGAGAGCTGGACTGGAAGAGGAGCAACCGGGGCTAGTATCCGGCGCCCCAACTGGGACTAGAAGCCGGTGCCCATATGGGATGCCGGCACCGCAGGCGGAGGATTAACCAAGTGAGCCACGACGCCGGCCCCAGTGAGTTTGTTTGTTTGTTTATTTTTTTTTGCAATGAGTTTCTTAAAGACTGTATATAGTATCCAGTAAAACAGAAATAAATTAACACTATTGTATTACTAATTCATCTCAACAGTGAGAGAAAACAGAATAGTTATTTTGTTAGTCTAGATATAATTTGTTTTCAGCAACTTTTGGGCCTAAGAATAACATTTGTTTTTTAAATTTTGTAGCTACTAGGTTTATATCCGAAATAATTATTTTGAGAATTATTTTGAGAATTCAAATGAAGCAATTAAAATATGCTTTTCTTATGTGGAACTACTAGACATAATTTAACAGGAGGCTGGTAAGTCACCACATTTTATGCATACAGTACCATTCAGCTATTTATTTTTATTTTTAAACAAAGACAGAGAGCTCTCACTCAGTGAATGACTCTCCAAATAGCTAAAACAGCTGGAGCTGGGCGAAGGGTGAATCCAGGAGTCGTGATCTTAATTTAGGTCTCCCGTGAGAGAGTTGGGAATTCACTCACTTGAAATACCACTGCTGCCTCCCAGGGTCTTCCTTGGTGGGAAGATGAAGTCGAACAGCCAGAGCTGGGAATTGAAAGGAAGTACCCCGATGTGGGATGTGTGCTTCTTAACTAAGCTAAACATCTGTCCTAGTTCTCTCTTTATTTCATTTCTTTTTCTAAAAATTTTATCTTATTTATTTGAAAGGCGGAGTTAGAGGGAAAGAAAGAGAGACAGAGAGTGAGGTCTTCCGTCTCTTGTTCACTCCCCAGGTGGCTGCAATGGCTACGGCTAGGCCAAGCTGAAGCCAAAAGCCAGGAGCTTCATCCAGGTCTCCAACATGGAGGGTGGTCCTCCACTGCATTCCCAGGCACATCAGCAGTGAGCTGGATTGGAAGTGGAGCAGCCAGGACTTGAACCAGCACCTATATGGGATGCTGGTGCTGCAGGTGGCAGCTTAACCCACTATGCCACAGTGGTGTCCCCTTTCCTATTTGTTTCTAAATGAAATAGGTAGATGATTTCAAACTTGAATTATTCAAACAATGTACAACATGATATATGTATGTGGATATAATTTTTTTTTTCTAAAAATATTGCTTACGGTAAAGACTGGGACTTCACTTTGCTCACACAACACGTTCCTTATTCTGACACATGGTTATTCTGGAGACCGCCCTCTATGGGACATATAGAGATTCTATACTCCGAGAGCAGCAGAGAATCCATCCTGTCAATTATCATAATTTATTCCATTAATCTTCTCATGGGCATTTTAGGTGATTCTCAGTCATTTACAATACTTTTTATAAATCTTATCAGTGTGTTTCTGTGAGACTAGATTGCTAGATGTAGAAATATTGGTTCAATGGTGATAAATGCAATTTTTAATTTTAATAAATATTGACAGTTAATCTCTATAAAAACTAATCCTTTGTGATCTGATTTTTAATTCAAATCTATAGGATGTTTAATAATAAATTAAACTTACTAATTATTATTTTGAGATAAATGAATATTGCTTGCAAAATTTATCAGTTCAGAAACAAGACAATGGGGGAGGGCATTGTGGTGCAGTGAGTTAAACCACTGCTTGGGAAGCCTACATTCCACATCAGCTGAATGGAGTCCAGCTTCTGTTAATATTTCCTTGGGAAGGAACAGATGATGGCCAAAGTATGTGGGTTCCTGCCATGTGCCTGGGATACCCCAATGGAACTTGCAGCTCTTGACTTTGGTCAGGCCCACCCTGGCTGTTGTAAGCATTTGGGGAGTGAACCAGAGAATGTAAGTTTCCCTCTCTCTCTCTCTCTCTCTCCCGTCCTCCTTCCTTCACTCTCACTCAGAGGTTCAACTAAATAAATAAATAAATAAAAATAATTCAGACTGTGGCCAATAATTAAACAAATAGCTGTCAAAGCTATTAAGGATTTCCATAACGAATCTGATTTAAAAGTAACAAAGATCCAGGTCTTATTGTTCTAACTCTTACGTTCTCAACATTATTAGAATGTGTGCTTTTCTAACAAGTACCAGCTCCATTATACATATTATTAAGGACCTTCTATTTTGAAAATAAAATAATCAAATATGGGGATTTACTTATAGCAGATGGTAAATACCATGAAAAGTGATTTGGAAATGGTATATAAGCCCACAACCCTCAATGATTCATAGCTTTCAATCTATACTCTTACAGTTCATAATAGATAGCAAGGAAATATTTCAAACTTTGTGAAAACATATATACATGAAGATATTAATAGAATTCAATAATAGAAGAATTTTAAGTAAGTTCTGAGATATTTGGGTTTGTTCAAGTATTATTATTTATAAATTTTAATTCTCATGGATATGAAATGATACAAAATGAACTCTAGTTTAAAAGAAATGAATTTTAAAATATAGATAGGCCAAATATGTTAGGAATAATTTAATAATTTCTGCATACCAATAAACAAATCCATTTGAAAATAAAAATACATCAATTTTGCCAATAATTTTTATAAGAAAGTGATGGTTTACTCATGACACCCTTATTTTCACCATAAATATATTTCAAAATATGGAAACTTTATAATTTAAAAACATTAGAAATATTTCATTTTTACAGTATTTTTCTGACTCCTATTTCTTTGCTAAGGTGCATTAGGGACTTTCAAAAATTGATCAAATGGCAGGAGAATAATAAATAATGGCAAGATCAACTCTCTGGGAACTAGAAGCCTGAATAATCTAAACAAACTTTTTGAATTCCAGAATGGCAGATTCCTAGTCACAAAATAATTGTGAAAAAAGAAAAGGAAAGGTTAAATTAGACATTTCTTTAGGTCTTTTCCAGCTTGATTAAATTATGTAAAGTAAGGCATTCTGTGGATTTGATACATTCTCAACAAATCTTAGGTATTTATTGTTCATGGCTCTCTTCTTGTTATTTTATCCTTGATAGAGCAAGTTCTAGCTTAAAACTGAGTAGCTCATTTATTGAGAAAGGAGAGAGTTAAAATTCAAAACTCTGACTTTACCAACATTTTCACTCTTATCTCCCATTTCTTTCAAAATTAGTTAGGGAAGGCCTGTAGGACTGTTAGTAACACCTTTAATAGACCAGAATCATTGTTATGTTAACTAGATAATATTTAGCCAGGAAAAAAAGACATCATTTGTGTTTCCAGAACAGAAAAAAAAAATAGACTGAAAATAGAGGTGGAGGGGAAATTATCCTGTATTATTTATTTTTATCTCTCTCATGCGTAACAGAGATTAGTACTGAATATTTGCCAATAAATGTAGTAAAACTAGATAAGTAACTGAAGGGCTGGCATAGTTCCTGGAAAATGAGCTATTCTACAAATGCTAATTTTATTATTATAAGAGTATAATAACTTATTATTGTAAGGGTGCAATATTGCTTATATGCTATATTTAGTATGCATGCTACTTCTTTCCCTTTGTTTCGGCACAAATACACTAATGTTCATGTAGGTATTGTTCAGACTAAGGTTATCCATTTCAAATCCTATTTATAAAGATTTTTTTCCCACTATAACTAGCATTTGTCATACTTCAGACAAGAAACTAGAGAGAGTTTTACAATTTCTAAGAATTAAAACTAAAATTTTAGATGTCTGTTAGCATCAACTTTTTGCATATGTGAAATGTGTACACAAATTACTCTTCTATAGTAAGTATAAGTTTATGACATGGTGATTGTTAAGGATGTTTTTTGCTTTTCAAATATAGAAATTTGACCAAAATCTAAATTACCTTTAGGGGAAAGAGGCCAAATGTGGATTTATATATCGCTTTGTCAGCATCTACCGCCCAACTCCTGAGGTCATATCCTGGAGGATTATAAATGCACAAATGTTAGATTGTATGAGGAACAGCGCTTCTACTTGAGATGAGGGTGGTAATGCTAACTGGATGTCATTCCAATGCAGGAAGCCGAGGGAGGAAAATGTCCTGGTTGGAGATTTGATTTTTAGGTCAGCCTGAGTCATGAGTCTTTCTGAGGTGGTTCCCAAACTTGTCTCCACAACAGAATCACAAAGAGTGCCTGTTAAAAACAAAGATTCCTGAATTTCACCCTGGAGAACTTGATTGGGGAGATCTGGGCTTCATCCCCAACTTTTGTGTTTTTAAACAGCTACCCAAGTGTGTCTAAACAGGCGGCTTTAGAATGAGAGCACGGATTATTAATTCTAACAGAACTGGTGACTAAAGACCAAGCTAGAATGCAGGGCTGTGAAGAGCAAG